CTTTATTAGAATGAATCAAATTTGTCTAAAAAATGTTTGAACTTTTCAACTCTCTCTCGAATCACGTTTTAAGTTTTGTAAAATCATTTGATTATTGCTTTAAAAAACAATTAAATACAAAATAAAAGGTGAGAAATTTGAAGAAAAAAGTTAGTTTTGAGTATACTACTCAAGATAAAATTGATGCAAAGAGTGATATCAGCTCAAACGTTTAATAGAAAATAATCATATGTTCTTATTTATAATTCTCTGCTTTGAAACTCAAAACTGATTAGATATAAAGGTAGGTTTTAATGCTACTCTTTTTCAAAACAAAGAAATTTATTTCATTTGATTATAATTGATTTTTTAGTTGATTTTCAAATGTTTCTAGAACGAAAAATGGCTCATTTTTTAATAAATTAAAAATTCTAACCCAATTTTCCACTATTTTGTTATGCTTCGTGATTTTCTTGAATCAATCTAAGCTTAAGATAGCTATTTGCTTCAGAATTTTCACGCAGCTCTTAATGTTACGGCAGCAGTCATTATTGCTAAATTTACAACTTTGAAAACATTTGTATCATTTTTTGTTTGATATTCGCTTCTGCGGCTTTCACAATAGGAGTGTTTTAAATTTCAGAAATTAGTTATTAGAGTTTGAAAAAAAATCGTGTAAAAAGTTTTGCTGTATGCTTCCTTGAAATCAAAATCACTATAAACAAAGCCTCATGATGATACCACACTCCGCCCGTCTTACTTGAGTTTTATTTAAATTAAATTGCGTCAAAACCAATTGACTTTACTCTTTAGTAATATCCAAATTGAAAATCATAATAATCGTAGACGTTTTATTAAAGAAAACAAAACAAAACCATAGTAACAAAAATGAACTTGTTTTCTTTTTTATTGATTTTTTATTGGGTCAGAAAATCTTTTGAACTTCATAAAACTGAACCTGTAAAAATTGAAGATAGGCTTTTAATTTGCTGTCTTAGACAATATTTACTGTTTTCATTTCCAATTGGGCAAAGGCCGCAGACATTTTTGCACAAAAAATATATTTTGTACTCAAAATTGAGCAATGGGTAGTCGAGAAAATTATCAGTTTTTCACTCGTAGTTTTCAAATTAACTTGACCCGAAAAAAAATTGATTTTCAAACAAAACTGAAATAGAGTTTGATCGAACTCTGCAATTCGCACGGCGAAGTCTGGCTTACCGTGTGTTTGATATCATCTTCTAATTTTTGCAGGTCGCGCTCCTAGATACTCCGTCGAACGCTAGATTGGCATTTTATTTGGTTCTTCTTCTCGCAAAACGTCCCAGAAATTTTTAAGGGGATATCTCCGGGTATGTTGAGAGAACGAAGTGACACAGAGAACCAAAAAACATCAAAATATCCCAGTCAGATAAAACCAGAACACAGTACGCAAAAAGATTTGATATACTACTCAACTTACCAAAAAACTGAAAAGTTAACTGAAAAAAGTTTAATGAAAAAATCGCAGAGAAGCTATCAGTGGGTCTTAATAGGCCTGTCGAATGTTGGTGCAATTGCATGAACTCCCCACATTTCAGACTGTTATGTTGTTCACCGAGCTCTTTTTTGCGACTCAAGGCCATTTTTTGCGTCTATAATTTTCAAGTGGTACCATTTTTGAAGCCGAATTTCTTAGGAAATCCTCTAGCTAGAGATCAAGTGAGAGTTCGTCCTCACACAATACCTATCGTTGCCTTGGCATAGGATCGAATACGCGATCAATCGATCTCAAAGTGAACCCGAAGTGCCTGAACTACCACTATGCGAAGTGCCTCAAATAGAGATCAAACGTCCTAATACTTAAGAATAGTGCGCCAACAAAGCAAATTTTTGATCCGACTAATGAGAATGGGTAAGAAATTTGTATTCGGATATGTTTTAGTTCAATTGTTTTTCACGCAAAATCAGATCGCACAAATAATAATTGAACTGGGTTGAGTGATATATTGTTTTGTAGCCCTTTTTTCTTGATTCCATTAACAGCGAAAAAATATCAAAAAGTGTTGGGAAAAACCGGTTCTAAGTTATTACCTTTTTGTCTAATTTCGAGTGAGTATAGCGACCCAGCATGCTTATTATAGAAGATTAGTCGCAGATTAGTAGAAAATGAGCATTGAAATTTTCATTTAAGCCCTGAAATTGTGGTAAATTTAGTTTTTGATCTTTTTAGCACCTTCTTGGGAACTTTTCATTTTGATTTTTTTTTTCGTTTTCCGACATGCTTTTCAAAATGAATATGGGAAGTTTCTAAAATCTAGTCCACCAAGAAAAAACAAGTTCAAATTATTTAAAAAAAGATAACTGTTTTAAAACATGGTCATAACATTCTGTGCTATTTGCACAGCAGCCGGCTATCCTTGTTCATTTTTTGGCATCATTTTGGATAAGTTGGCAAGAATTATCATTTTTGACCTAGCTAAGTTCAGCTTAATAGTTTCATCTAGCATGAATTGAAGTTTCAACCCTATATCTTAATTATTTGTAGAGAAACGGCAAAAACGTGAAGAAAGAAAATCGTTCATGTGTTTGATGAAATCAAGTGTCTAATTATTTGTTGAAGCCCATTGTAGCCAGAAAAATATATTGAAATCTTTTTTTTTGATGTTACAGGTTGTTCATCATCTACCAAAATTTAGCCTCATCAGTTTTTGCAGAATTTCGTAAAGTAGATCATTACCAGTCCAAACTGTCTGTTTATTTTGTAAATTTTCAACGGATTCTGCAACACGTCGATAACAGTTTTGTCGCTGATTCCGCAACAATGTTCTTCAACAAGGCTCTTTTTTCTTTGATCTTTTTTGAGCTTTCCTTTTTAGAGCTGTTTTGAATTCCACGAATAAATGACTAAAACACTTTATCGCTCAAAATTGCTCGAAAAACAGCCAAATTTGCGGAGTCCCCAACAAAAGTTTTGGATGAAATTTTTGCGGAATCTGCTCACATTTTGCGGAATCCGCTTGTTATTACGGAATTCGGAACAACTAGCTATAAATACTCGTAGCGGAATCAGCGACAAAAACATAGGCCTGCAAAAATTAGGCTATAGTTATTTGTGCTTGGAACCCACGAAAGTTTCGTAAGTGGAATCCACTCATATTTTTAACTTGCTTAGGGTTTCGCCTCTGAAATTGAATGACCTACAAAAACCATAAAGTGCGCCTATTCATTGCACAGTTTACTTCGTAATGGTATAATTTTTTTGAAGTGTTTGTCATATGTTTGAAACTTTTAACTGTGTTGCTGACATTAAAGTCTTAGGGATCGAAACATTATGTGCTTCATGAACAGTAACTGGCTATCTTTGTTTTTATTATAATTAACCAATTATCATTTCTTACAATATTATATCAGGCCTAAAATGTTTACCTGAAAAAAAAAGACAATTCAGATAAGTACACATCTTATTCTTATTATTATTTTTTTGTTATACTCCACTCTCCTAAGGCATAAAAAAAGTTGAAGATTTTATAACAAAATGGCGACGTAATTTTTGTGAAAACTATGAAATGCATGATATTATTAGGATACTGGTGAAAAGAAGCTTTTTCTACTTAATTCAGCCTCGAACTGATTTTCTCTATTTTTTGTAATTTTCTGCACATAAATTTCATAAAATGGACCAAATGCGTTTTTAAGTGTCGTTTAATTCGCATTAGTTTGCAATTTTCTAGCTTAATTTGACGCTCGGGATATCAACTCTGCATTCGTATATCACAACCTGTGTCCAATTTTGTAATAAAAATTTTTATTTTCGTTTAGTATCATCTAGGCGAATATAAACGAAAAGACCCTTACTTTTGGGCAACATAATGCCTATATTCGTGCGTATGTATATTCATTCAATTGTTACACACTTATAATTCTTACTCATTATAGCAAATTCATACTTTTATAACTATTCCAAAAATTTTTGACAGAATAAATTATTTGAAAAAAAAATATTGAGCTGGAAAAACAAATTTTAAACTTGAAGTTTTTTTTTCTAAAAATCATTCAATAAAGGTGTGAAACTACAAAAAATACTTATTTCATTTTTTTCTTCTTTGAAGTATCTGTTATTGTTTACTTCTTCTTCAGAGGCAAAACTGCGGAAACTATGGAAACATGCAACCCTTTTGTTCATTCTTTTGTTGTTAGTAAATCATCTACCGATTGAGTTACTTCTCAGTCCACACGCAAATTGATTTTTTATTCGATTTTTCTCTCTTCACTTTTTTCGATTACAAACAAATTGCTGAAAAGGTAAAACAAGTAGTAATCAAAACCACTTATAGATTGAAATACCTTTCACCGCGTCCTTGTTTATTTACCATTTATTTTAGTTACACAGATGTGAATAAAACAAATATTGCTTTTTGTTCATTTTTACCTTGGCGCCATTTTGTCAACAATTTTATCATCAGTATCTCGATTTCAATTTCCTTTGTATATTTTTTTCATTAGTTGTGGATTTTATCGCCCGCGTAACTACCGATTTATGCTAATTTTGAATTAGACTGAGGTAGATTCTTTTCGACTCAATAAGGTTTGAAAATTGCGAGTTTTTTGAAGTGAAAAGCTTGCTGATTACAATGCTTAAGGCGCTAAAAAGGATTGAAAAATTTGAATCGTAGAGTTAAAACGCAATCAGAGTATTACACGCGGAACCACCTCTCGCCTGGAGATTCATATTGCAAATTACTTTGGGAGCATCTTTTTTATATTCTATCGTAACGGATCAATTCTTTTGAAAAACAGCAAAATATATTACACCATTTTTTGCATTCAGTTTATTGCCCTAGTTTTTAATAATTTGAAATTGTGGAGTTTGTTTGTATTATTTGTTTAGTTCATTGTGTTGATCGGGAAAATAATTACCAGGAAAGCAATAAATCATAAAATTATTCGCTGACCTTCATAAAAGCTGATGTTTTTTGCTTTTCTTAATATCAAAAAGCGGAAATAAAAATAGTTCGTGTCACGATTTGCTTGTGTATTAGACTTAGAAAATAATGGAGTCTTCAAGCACTGACAATCAATCTTATGAATCTCAAACAGTCCCAATTCAATCTCAAGAACCAGAGTTGCAAGAGAATGGTAAGAAAAAGAAAAATGCATCGTTTTTGAAGAGCTTCTCCAACTGCTGGAAAACACCAGAAACTGAACCAGTCAACTTTGAGGCTCTGAAACTTGACGAAAGGTAAGTGAAATTTTGTCTACTTTTCTTAGGAAGACCAAATTGAAATTCCAAGCTCTCCTAGAGCATTAAAAGACCCTGCTTTGACCATTTTTTTTTGCGCGCAGGCGATTTTTTGAAAAGTTTTGACCAAAAAAACTTCGCGTTTATTCGGCACGTGCTCCCCCTTCAAAATTAGTATATTGGCAAAGAGGGGTCTTTAGAAAACATTTAGGGTTTGCCAGCAAAAAATGAAGGTCCCAAAATAGTAACAGATGGGAAACCTTTGGGTAGTCAGGGGGTCGAAACACTGAGGAGAAAGGGACGTCCGTAGACCCCTCTAAATCCGTCCTGGTATTGTGTTCAGGCGCACACTCAGACATCTACAAAGTTTTTGTATTAACCATAACCCAGTGTCAAATCTGAAAGAACGTCATTAGATCAAAAGGTCTGTTTTCACACATATCTGAGCGGAAAACAGTTTCAATTCTTTATAAGTGTAGACCAAAATTTTTTTCCGCCAAATTGAACTTTGTTTGATGTTTCATAAAAGTGGAAGCAAATGCGGCCGGTGATTGCAAAAACAGAGCAGAAAAGTTCTTTTACTGTTATGTTTTAAACAAAATCAATTTTTAAACAAAAACACAAAATATTTTAAATTCTTTTTCATCGTAATTTAGGTCGTAGGGCGTACGAGGAATGAAGCTTATAAAAACGACCTACTATAAAACTCACTAATATTTTTAAAAAACAACAACTTAGTTACCTGCTTCATCAACTTTGAAGCTATGTTTAAAAAATTTACGTTAGAATGGTGTCTGATGTATTACCGCCGGGCAGCGTATCACTTATATTGATATTATTATTAGCCTGAGGCATTTATGACTGCGATCTGGATTTGAACTACACTAATTATTATCACTTTGGGCTAATACTGGAATTGACAAAGATTTGCTGACTTTTGACAAGTTAGACAAAATAACAACAGAAATGAAAAAAAATCTCAGCAGAACACAAAACAGAAAAAAGGGACAAACAAAACTTGATATAAGTCTCGATCGAACAAAAACTGCACAGAAATTTGCAACTAACAAAATTTACTAGCAAAGACTAGAAAACAATACTTAAATTAGTTCATATTTCGCTTAATTGTATTATAATCTCAATTGTGTACTTCTCAATTTTATAGAAAAAAAATATACTATTTAATTGGGACTCAACTTTTAATAATCTTGATTGGAAACTCATAACAGTAAAAACAAATTGTAATTCCGCATCAGAAATTTTTTCTAAAAATTATTAACTCTAAGATAAAAAAATAGGCTACAAAGTCTAGTGACATCAGGTGCCCGATTGAAAGACAGGCCTTTAAATGATGCTCAAAAAAATGGTTTTTCTATATCCCTTGCTCTTTTTTTGGGTTTTAAGTGTCCTTTAGTTGAAACGGATTAGATTCAAAGATATAAGTCATCTGACATTTTTAGAAAATTTTGTTTATTCCATTTTTTACCGCAAAAACGAAGCAACCACCTACAAATTGCTTCCTTTTTATGTCAAGAACTAGCTTTAAATACTGAAATCAAACAGAAGAATCTGAAATTCATTAAAAAAATAAAAACAAATTTTAAAAATAAAACTCCAGTGCGATTAACCAGGTTTTGCATACTTGTAAGCTATAGTATTTTTTTATGCATGAAGCACTGAATATTTTGGTCAAAATTACGTTAGCAAAAAAATAAATGTTTCTTAAGATATACGTATTTGACTATTCTAAACTCCCGCTAGAATTTCATAAGAATCAATTATATTAAATTTTCATTGTCGGTATCCAAAAAAGCAAAAAATTGGTTTTAATTGATCAAAAATGGATTGTAATTTTTTTTCGGCAAATCAAAAAATTGCATTTTGTTCGATGATAATTGATTATAATGAAATGTGATTTTTTCTGTAACACTAAATTTCTTAAGTCCAAAATTTTAAAACACAGTGCAGTGTCTCAAACAATTGACTATTTTTTTGGCGTAACGCACGCTTTATTAGAAAAATGCAAAAGTGATACATACTTTGGCTAATCGCTGGGTTATCTTGTTTTCAAGTTTTTCCTTTCGCATTTTTTTTCTCATACGTTTTTTTAGTTTCCCAAACTTTGCTTATCTTTTTACACTTTTCGTCAACCAATTTAATTTTTTTCCTTGGGGTCCGGCAGGGGTTTTGAGTTTGACGGGCAGGTGTCTGTAATATTTTGGGGCTGGTAAATTGGGGGATAAAGAAGAAATGCAGATGTGTGTATGCGGGAGTGAAAAAATAAGGATGTCGATGTCTGTATGCGGGCGCGAAAAAAAAGTGGGTGCTGAGGTGAAAAAATGGGGATGTCGAACTTCGTAGATGGGCATTAACACGGTGATGAGCATGCTCGTTGAGCTTCTAGTTATGAAGAACGTTGCAAAAATTGGAGTAAACATTTTACGATATTTACTCGAAAAACACAAAAACCTAAAATTTATTGGTCGCTTTATTAATTTATTGGTAGCTTTCTTTGTTTATTGGTCTAATATATCTGGTTTATTGGTTGCTTTATTGTAGCGAGGATGGAGAGGGGGATTGGTTGAAATTTTTTAGTGCCAAAGAAAAAGAAAAGGCGGTCAAAACAAATGAAAGACTACGGAATCAGAGGTCAAAGAGCTGTATTCCTGCAGAGGGAGAGGGACTTGGAGGTAAAAGTCAAACTGAAGAGGTCAAATCTGAAGGGCCAGGAGGAAGAAAGGTCAAATTTGAGGAAGATAAATACGAGATGATCGCTGATTCTCAAATGGCTGAAACACAAAAGGTAAGTATCGATCAAATTAAATGCAAAATAATTTGATCAAAAAATGTTCAATTAAAACAGACTTTTAATTTTTGTGTTTCAATGTTGATTTTTAACCAGGGTGACAAACAATTTGCGTCACGCGCTGTTCCAGAGGCACCGGACGTCTGGAGTCCGGAAGAGGCGGCAACTCTGATCAAGGCAGTTTGGCGGGCCAGAGAGACCAGGAGATCCATGCCACACATCACACCACTGACGACCACGACGAAAAAGCCATGATGGCCATACATATATCCATGCTTAGAACAAAAGAACCATGGATGTGATTTTCGTGTTTAATTTATGACTTATAGCTCTTAATGAATAGAAGTGTATGTTAAAGAAATTTTGTTGATAACAGAAATATGATTGATGTGATGTGATGTTTAAACTCTAGATTAATTTTTGAAAAACGCCACTTGAATACGAGCTTACTTTTTTGTTCACAGCTTAAAAAGTCATCCCAGTTTTGAATCATAGTAGCCTAACTTAAACACTAGTTTTTTTTTCAAAAAAAATCAAGATAATTTTTGCATTGATTTATAGTTTGACTTTGATTTGACGCCCAATTGAATAATGAAGAACAAACTTTTTTTAAAAATTTCTTACTGAGATCATCAACAAAGGTTCAATTGAATGACTTGCGCCCCATAAAACAAAAATAAATCAAGCTTAAATCCCATTAAACAAGGTAAAAAGAGTCATTTTCAAGGATTATAAAGGTAGTCCGTATTAAGAGCCCTCAATAGCCCTTAGTGTCATTAGCAATACAAGCATGATCGATTTCTCCAAGTTCAATTTAAAGCCATTTAGAGGAATTAAATCAATAACATTCCAGTACTAATAGGCAATCGATTAAAGTTGTTAGAACGAAAGGAATCTTTTTCGAAAATCATTGCTCTCATTCCTTTTCAATTTGCAATAAAACCACAAAAAAATTGTTTAGTTTTTCCAAAAATAATTTTCCGCAACCTAATTTAAGTATATAAATTTAACAAAATAAAACTCAAACTGAAAATTCTTCAGTTTAAAACAAGTAAAAAAAATTATTTGATTAAAATATTTGACAAAAAAGCATTAAAAACTCAAAATGAAAGCCACCAAGACTAGTCAAAATAGAGTAAAAAGAGACCGTCCCTACGATCACCCTAATATTCTTGAATCGGCGAACAAAAAAGAGTCAAATTTCCAAGAAACAGAATGTCTCAAATACGCTATTATGGATGTTCCCCAAAATTATCCTCAGTACCCAACTGTCGACCAGGCTGAGTTGCAGCCCATGATGCCTAATCAGGGCTACTATATTGAGACTGGGCCAGTGTTCGCTTCTTCAGGGGGAGATGTGTTTCCAGCTTATACCTACACTTCAGATGTAAGTTTACAAATATTAAGACAATATTGAAAAAATTTGTTTTCAGGCTCAAAATCAAATTAATAACAGGAATAACGGTAAAATTCTCAAGCTGTCAAAAATCCTTTTTGGTTATCCTGGTTTGTGATCCTGGCTGATTGTTTGTAAAACACAATGCATTTTTTGCACTGTACCAAAGTTCTACATAGAAACAATGATTGCTTCCAGGCAGGGGCGGATCTTGGATTTTATCGAGGGGAATGGGAGGGGGTTTGGTTAGCGGATTTTCAAAAACTTTTCGAAGTCCTCCACCCCCAAGTCCCTCTCCCTCTGCAGGAATACAGCTCTTTGACCTCTGATTCCGTAGTCTTTCATTTGTTTTGACCGCCTTTTCTTTTTCTTTGGCGCTAAAAAATATCAGCCAATCCCCCTCTCCATCCTCGCTACAATAAAGCAACCAATAAACCAGATAGATTAGACCAATAAACAAAGAAAGCTACTAATAAATTAATAAAGCGACAAATAAATTTTAGGTTTTTGTGTTTTTCGAGTAAACATCGTAAATTGTTTACTCGACTTTTTTCAGGTCGACCAAAATGATTTTCCAAGCTCTTTTAAATCGTTATAAAAACCCTATTTTGACCAAATTTCCTGCAATTTCCTCCTTTCAAAATTCGTATTTATTGGTGCCAAAGCGCCTTCAAAATTTTTTTAGGGTCAGCCCGCCAAAAATGGATGTCATAAAATAATACCAAAGGGGGACCCTCTGGTTGGTGAGGGGGGTCGAATCACTGAGGTAAAAGGGCGTCAGCTCTCCCGTCCCCTAAATCGGCCCTTGCTTTTAGGGATTGTTTTACGAGCCGAGAGTCGTGGCGAATGTACGTGAACGAAAACGAATGATGAGCATCAACTCGGCTTTTGAGGAACTTCGTCTGCACATACCAACGTTTCCCTACGAGAGACGCCTGTCCAAAATAGATACTCTAAGACTGGCCATAGCATACATTGGACTGCTCCAGGCTATTCTGGATTCGGGCAAGGGGCCCAAGGAGTTCCTAGCCCAGATTAAACTGGACGAGAGAAGCAATACTCTGAATGACGAGCCCTGGAATACAAGCGGTAACTATTTCAATGCTCTTTAAAAATATAAAACAAATTTTGACGTCTTTTGGCATTTGGTTGATTCGTTTTTTGAATAAGGAGCACCAAAATATAAGCGCCAACTTTTATTAATGAAGCAACAACATGAAATATTTATCACTCGAAATCATATTTGAAAAAAATATATACTGCGTTTCGGTTTTTCTGGAGTGAGGGAACGAGGACAATATAAAAGTTTGAACATTTCCAGGACATTATATATTGATAAATTTTAACTTTCGAGCTCTTCTAAAAGCCATAAAGACTGTCAATTTCAGCAAAATTTCAGTCAGAAAAACAGTTTTTTTTTCCGGAGCGCAATTCAAATTATTTTTATAAATTGGCATCCAAAACTCTAGACCTGGCCGGCCAGAATTGGATTTCCTTAAGAGGGGCGTACCCTGCCCTCTGATTATTAACGTTTTGGTCTAATTATCAGTAAACATTTCATTGATTTTAAGATATCATAGGTTACTCGATATTACATACCACCAAAGGTGGGGGTATTGCTAAAATGAAGCCAAAAAAACTTAGGAAAGTTACGTTTTTTCTCATCAACAATGGAGCCTAGATTTCACCTTTTTGTTTTAGACTTGACTTCAAGATTGGACTGGGTGACGTGGGATTGAAAATGCACTAACAACTTTTCTATTTCAGAAAAAAAACTTTAAAATATGTTCTGCAAACTTAACCAGTTTTTGGCAGTTTTAAATCAAAGTCACCCAAAAATTGAAATTTTGTGGAATATAAGAAATCTTGTGGAATATAATGCCACCTGCATTGAATCTATATTTGTACAAATGTTTATAAATGAATAAATCAACATTCATATATCTTTTATATATAAAAATAATGAAATTTTTGACTTGATTCATTCAAACATTGCCTAAAAAACGTCCAAGCAAAAGTTATTGCCACATTTGCAGCCCACATGATTTAAAAATTTTTGTTCTATTCTTTCACGCACAAACAGCTATATAAACAGCTATATAAAACTGCTCTTATCGTTGCTTAATCTTCGAGTCATGATTGTTTTTCAGCAAATCTTAAGTAGAATTTGTGAACACTTTTGATGAAAACTTCCAAAAATGTAAAACCATAATGCAAAACACAAAACGGTTAGTCGTATACTATTGTACCGTCTCGACCAATTGGCTTGCGTCAATTACTTGCCGTCCCAGAGCTGATTTCCTGGGTTGACGTCCCGTAGCTAATCAGCACTCCCCCAGCATTTTAACTGAAATGCAGGTCTGGACATAGTTCGATAACGTAGACAACTAAGGGGCATCTTTGTACATAGATTCAAATGATAGTTTTTTTGCAATACTATATCAGTTATGAGTACCCCAGCTTATCATCAATACTTCAGCGTAATATCAAAGAAAAAGTTGTCAGAAGTTTTGTTTTTCACTTTCATTTATACCCTTTGACATAATTGCACGCTTCTTGAGATTTCTGAGATATATTCAACTCATTAGCTTAATTGATATGGGTTTATAATGCATACGGTATCAAAGATGACTTCAGATTGATTCATAGGGTGTTCGAATATGGGCAGACATTAATTTATGCAAGTTGGGAACAATGTATTCTCGCAGATCTTGTTATGATCCAAATGAAAAAATGCTAAGACAGCATTGGGACAGTACTGGATTAGTGCTGCTCCCAGGTCAAAGTCCGCGAATTATTCTTTACACTTTCATTTCATAGTCTGGACAAGTTTTTATACCGAAATTCTAAAAAAAAACTGCCTTTAATATACAATTTTTCAAAATTATGAAATAATTATCACACAGTAAATGTACAGCAAGTTCAAATTATATAGACAGTAATGTCTGAGAACACAATTAACACAGAAAAAACCTTGAACTAGTAATTTTTTTAAGCATTTCTTTTCAGCAACCGAAAAAACGAAACGAAGTGGAAAATTGTTGAGCTACCGACCGCTTTTTATCAACCCAAAAATCATAAATCAACCCAACTCAATAAATTGTTAATATAGTGTTACAAAAATCAAAATTCTATATAAAAATTACTTGAGCCTATAAATTTTGAACTATGAGCTTTGATTTGATTTGAAATGTGATTTTGAACCTCATCTGGGAGTTCTGATTTGATTGATACACACCTTGGGCACAATTTTTCTTTTAATTTCCTTCCCTATAATAATTCCCAGTACTAAACAGATACAAGATTTAATTTTCATTTCCTAAAGCAGAATAAGGACTCCTTGATTTCCTCCAGTACCTTTTAGGTTAATTATTGGAGCCTGGTTTGGATATATTAGAAGCCTTGAATAGATTGCTCTAAAATTACTTGTCAAATTGAAATCTTTTATCAGATAAACTATCGTTGAAAAACTGAAATAACCTATTTAGAAAAAAAGGTAACAATATAACTACCATTCCTTTTTATTCGACTTTTTCTGCAGCTTAAAAAAATTTGTCAATCTGACGGGAAGTCATTTTAACTATATTTTTGGATCTTTTTTTTGTCAATTGTTCTGCCTTGCTTGCTAGGCGTTTTTGATGGGATTTTTTATATATCATCTGAAAATAATTGATGCCGGGAGCTCAAAGTTAAAACTATTATATTCACCTGCTAAATTGTTTGTTTAGAAAATTGTGGGTCTGTAAATGACCAATTTCATTATGACATCAAGCTCGCTTTTATAATAGAGCACAAAAAACTGGTCGAATGCTTCCGAATTCCCCAGACAAAGTTTTCTATCTTTTAACTACATGTAAGCATTGTAGTAAAATTCCACAGACAAATATTTGGAATCCGGATCACTGGCAAAATGAACTAAGCTTGACGTCACAGTTCTGGGATATTTAGCATGCGCTATTTTTGATGTATTAAAGCATAAGCGGCTAAAAAAATCTGGCTCAGAATTCACTCCGAACCATATTGAGGCGATATTCTGGACTGATTGAGGGTATTTCCCTTTGTAATCCCCTCCCCCAAACAACAAGTAACAAAAATTAAAATCCCCCGTACACGTCTACCACTATAGGGGGCTGTGAAATTACTGCATGCTCAATTGAGAAAAAGCCTTCAATGATACGCTACTAGATTGGAATGATATCAGTTTTTAGTTTACACGGCGTTACGAGTTAAACAGAAAATGCGTGAAGAGTTAAAGCGTGAAGCGTTAAACAGAGAATGCAAATTTTTATTCTAAAAATTTGTATTTATAAAATATTTGTTTTTATTAATTATTTAATCAAGTCAAAACACATCATTCAAAATCATTCAAATCAAGCATTTTAGCATTCTCTTTTGAACCAAATATTTAAGAAGCCTTAAGAAACGACCGAGTCAACTTGAAGAGTTGAAAAGAGAAAAAACTATAGATATTTCTGTGAAATAATTTCAAAATGTAGCCCATTTTTTTTTCATTTTAAAAAACCCCGGTGCCAAAAAAGTCTGAATTCCGCGCATGCAGCCTTTTTTGTGAAACATTTTTTTCCACCAAACTGCTTGTTATGAACTCAGTTTAAAACAAATTTTAAAAGTAGTAAAAGATTTGAATTCCTCATATGAGAAATACAAGTTCAAAAAATAAGATAAAGTCGATTAAAAAAACAGCGCCATTGTTAGAAAAAATTATTTCACAAATATTTGCTTAAATAGTTTGGCAAACACATGAACAGTATCGGCACATCAAGTACCAGGTGCGAGTTCTGTGCAGGTTTTATATGGTTCTGGAGTTCTCCTGAAGCGAAGTTCGTATTGAACGCTGGATTTTTAATGGCCGGCTTAATACATTGATCTTGATTAGCTGGATAAAAGCGTTGGCACAACCAAAAACTCTGAAGAAAACTAACGCTTTTGTCTACTGCTTGTACACAAACCGATGCTTCAGTCTTTGATGTCTCAAGGCAGAAATAATCATCAGTGAAATTGAGGCCTAATATGATAGTGATAAAAAAGCGGATGTCTATTTCGATGAGTTGGTAATAAACTGGCAAGCATTTCGAATTGCATCGGCACTTCATTTCACAAGTTTAACTTCTCCTGAAAATTCAGTTGACTCTTTTTGGTGAAACCTGTAAAAATTTGCCACGACAGTTGAGGTACTTGGAAAATCTTTGCAAGATGCCTGAGTTTTGTAAACACCCGTAGAAAAATGATTTCGCAATTTTTAGTTGCTTAGATACTGCAAAGATATCTATGGTTACATTGTTTTCGAAAACATGACAAAAACATGACTTGTCAAGATATTATAACGATACGCATGATACTTATTGTTGGCAGCGTGTTGCTGAGCGATTCCATTTTTCAGTAAAAATTTCTTCAGCCCGAGAAAAGTTTTCTAGTTTTAGTTTTTGTTGGCTTTACTCAATGAAAATGGGCTAAAATACAAGCTTTTATACGTTGTTTGTATCAAAAATGGAGGACTTCAATTTGATGTATCACCAAACCCAATCTGATGACTATTCGTGGCACCTGATTTTATGTAGTAGAGATTTTAAAAAGAACTAGAACACCCAAAGACAAAGAACCTCCCCTTACATTGGTCGGAACAGAAAAAAGGCTGCAATATTTTTGTAACAGTGTTAGTCAATGCTGCATTAACTCCAGACTCCAGACTAACAAATAAATGATACTATTTAACCTATTTTGGGACGCATTTAAAAATTATAAATGTCTAAATTTATCTCAAAATTTTTTGTCAACACTCTTTGTACTATTACAATTAAAATGCGTCTGAAAAAATCACATTCATGTAAAATACATTTCGTGTGACTTGTAGTCTAAAACTTAAACCAGCCCAATCTTGATCAGAGTTTGAGCGATTAATTTTCGTGATGAGGGACGGTTTTCCAAGTGTTTAAAATTTTTTTAAATGGTTCACATTTAATGACCGTATTTTATTAAAATAAGTTTCCGGCACCGCAGGCAATTTTTTGAAAATTTTCGGCGTGCGTTTTACCTTAAAATTAGTATGTATTGAGTCTGAAAACCGCAAAGATCCAACATTTAAGTTTGGTTGACGTTGACTGAAAACTGATGCCGCAAAAAAGAACCAAAAGGGAAGTTTTGGTTGGCGAGGGGGTCGAATCCCTGAAGAAAGAGCAGCCCCCTCCTTCGCCCCTCCCTCTTCGCCTCTCCCTCATCCCCCTCAAAAATCTACACCTGGTATTGATTTAAGTATTTAATCCTGAAATTGTCTGTGACGAGGATAGATTGAGAATAAATAAACCTGCCGAATTATAAACCAAACGAAAACGCGGGGAGTGTATGAGCCAACCGAAACATTATGTCACATCAAAGAAAAATGCATAAATTTTGTCACTGTTACATAATTTTTAAATAACTACTAAAAATACTTCGGCTGGCTTATATATTATATATTTCGAGACAGTTTTCTTATCCGATCGAAACCTTCCATAACAGCAATTCAAGCTGATTTTTTTTCTACGACATCTCAGGTTGATTTTAAAACCGTTCTTTTTACTTAGTCCGAATATCAATTTTTCAACATTTTAAACTGATAATATTTTCCTTCGATCTGATGGACTAGAATTAACTCATTCTGTTTTCACTTTTAAACTAAATTATAATTAAGCCGAATATGTCACAATTATAAGTTTTTAGATACCTGAAAATTTAGGTTTTTCCAACTGCGGTCGACATATTTTTTTTACTTCAATCCACCCAAGTTTCAAAACGCGAAAGAAATTAAACTTCGACTTTGCTCTGCTGTTTTTTCATGTATCCGGCTTTCAAAAACTATGAGTAAAACGAGAGTAAAATAAA